CTAACGATTCTATGATTCTATGATTCTACATCACTGGCTCTGGACTAAGGCCCATCCATGTGTCGTGGTTTAGGCAACACCAAATCACTGATGACTTGGTGTCTCTTCTTACCTAAACTTACTAGAAAACATACCAGCAACCCACTGATCTCCTGGTCACGGATCATTCCAAGGTCACTTGTTTTAACAGCTTTTCAGGCCGTGCCAGTACATCTCTTTGCAGGGCTTTCACCATCTCACGCTTCCAGTACTAGGGACCTGGGGGCTCTCCTACCTTCTTTTCTGAGAGTTTGAGACTCCTAACTTTCCCAAACTGTCAGTTTCCTTTTCCTCAGTTTCCTCCAGCCTCTAGTGTCTGCCAGTAGTTTGAGCCTAACTGCAAAGCTCCCTCAAACAAAATTCCCAAATACAGGACTTCACAAAACACTGACGAAAAAATTAAATTTAAATTTAAATCCATCTTTATCTGGCCAAGCCTTACATGTTGCTCATTAGTATTAGATAGCCAAGGCTAAACCACTGCTTCCTTGTTTACTCATTAGCAGTAGTACTACACACTTAGCAGGAAAAAGGAAAGAACAGGCCTGAAGTGCACAGAAATGTGAGTTTAATAGATAAAAATCTATTTCCTTTTCAGACTACACCTGGGTCACAGGTAGGCATATTCAAGACACATTAAACAACCAGGAAACCCAATTCCTTAAGACAGACAGTCTCACATTCAAACTCAGTAGGTACTTTCAGCATTGCCAAACCAGACCAGACCATATGTCCTCCTCTCATCATGAGATGAATAATCTCAGAAAAAGGCACTTTTTAAACCCACATCATTTGGTATTAGTATGGAGCAACTACAAGCTCAATTCATTTCCAGGGGGAAAAAAATAAAACAAACCAACAACTGAAAACCAACCCCAGATTTATCTGACACCCTTTTCCGCTGTTTGCTCCCATCATGCTTTCAGTGCCCATCTCCACTCTTCTGTGTCCCAGCTGGGCTCTGCTACGCAGCACCACAAGCTGAAGCATCTCTCCCACCAGCTCACAAGAGCCCCTGCTCCGAGCTGTACATGCACACGCTGCAGCAACGCTGGAGCCTGGTTCATTTCTACACAAAGGGCGTAGATGTAACATCTATTCACTGTCTTTTCTGTCATCCAAGTTTGTTGATACGGTTGTATTTGCATTCAGTTTTAACTTCAATATAACCCGAAATTGTTACTGAAAGCATTACAAAGTCAAGGGAAAGGTGGCATGGAGAAAACATGCTAAGGGAACAAGTAGTAGTATAATACATTAATCTCATGTTATTTTGTTATGTAGAGAAAAAAAGGACCAAAACAAATCCCTGGAAATGAGAATCAAAATATGTTCAATTTCCAGAAGCTTCACAATCAGCAATGTCTCGATTCTCTTTGAAAATTATGGCCTGCAGGGATTTTTTTTTTTATTATTTTATTTTTTAGTTCTGAATATAAGCCACAGCTGTATATAAATCTCTAAAATTCAGATAGAGACCCCAAAATAGACCTTGTGTGATGCAGCTAAGAACACTGAAATAAAGAACAAAAAAAACACGCAGACAGGATGGTAGACTGATAATTATATCTCAGCTAGCCACAGCTTGCTTTGAGCTTCCTTCACACTATTCACACAGCAAAACTCATTTTTAATGCCATCTACAGATCGTAGCCATCTGTGAGAATGTAATGTAACAAACTAAGCATTGTAGTATCACAGAGGGACATAGGCCGAGAGGAAACAACTGCAGAGAGCTTCCTGTCATTTGTAATTTTTCGTTCTATAACTTACGAAAGCAATGGAGAATAATGTTGTGTATTTTTAAAAGCTCAGTGTCAAATATAATAAAAAGTTAGCAGCTTGAATTAAAGCATAGATTTTCTTCTCATATAAAATATGGAACTAAAGCAATATTTGCAATTGCTCTTTCTCAAGAAAATAAAACTCCTCTGAAGTATACCACACCACAGCCTTTCTCATTACCTCCATAAACAAAAACTTAAGATGCCAAGAGATTGCATTATACATTAAGACTGTGCAAAGGTTAAATTGTACACAATGGATGAAGGCCTAAGGAAGTCAGAAGCAAGCTTAAGAATCAATATTTTTTATTTACTGCTTGGTAGTACAAAAGTTGTATATAAACTATTTTGTTAAAAATACATATGACATGCAAATTTAAGAAAGGCTGACTAATATGGCAATATCCACACCCCTACAAAATAACAGAGTGTAGTGTTAAATGCAATGAAAAAGGCAGAGTTTCTAAATCCTCTTATTGAAGTAGCAATGCACAAATTAACTTCTTGCACGTATCAGGTCTTATAATACCTTATGTAAATATTTTATACAGTTAAACAATGTTTTACATATCCAACATTTTCATTTCTTTTATTCTACATATTTCCAATGGAATCAAAATAGAAACTACTTCGAAAGTAAAAAAATACATATTTCTGTTTAAATTTTCTTCCATCCTTTTGGCAAATTTACTTGAAGTACTGACCCATCATGTATCAAAACCACAGTATTATCAAAATACTACCCCCTCCCTTTTTTTAAAAAAAGCTTTTGGAACAGTCTATAACTGTGTATCTCCTTTCTGCAAATTATTTCAAACTGTTTGGTTTTTCCCAATACTCCCTTTTTCCAGTAACATTTTATACTGCTAGCTCTCAACCTCTTGGAAACTGACAGCTAACTACTACAACCAATACTAATTAAATTCTTCCAGAAACATTAGCTCTTCATACAAACAATGAAGTGAAGCTTGAAGAAGAAAAAAATTCAAGAATATTAAATGTATGCCTGTAAGGTGAGCTTGATGTTTATGTTATATTTAAATAATGGAAAGATTTCGTAAGTCAGGTTTAAATTAATGGGAGCAGGGATACTAAGCACTCAAGTTCCAGTCCTACCCAAACAGTTACTTTGGGTTCTCAAGGATGGACAATCATGTCTAAAATATCCATTTTAAAAGGAACAATAAATCATTAATTCTTGTCAGAGCTTTGTTGAGTAGTGGTGGGGTTTCTTTTGGCAAATATAGCATCAGTGAAAAGTATATATTGATAGGTCCACTCAGTATCTCTTAGATACAAATAGAAGGAAGACCATCAGCAGCACATACTTTCAGCAAAAGTGAAATAAATTTGATGTTTCCTGACAAGACGTGAGAGTATTAATATATAGGCAAGAAGATTAATTTTTTTCTTTGTACGTGTTGATTTTTAACAGTGCATAAACTTAAGAAACCCGATTCTCAGATCTGAAGGAGAAACAGTTTAGGCCATTTGGACTAAAACAATTAAAAGTACAAATTTAAAATAAATTAATTCCAAATCAAACAGATTTTCACTGAGTTCATAAAGCAGACTAAGTTACTCTATAGTTCTCAGAATATAGTGCAATCCCTACTGAAATGCTTTACATTAGAGCTTATATTCTTAGGCACTCAGAACAAATGTTATTTTTCAGTTTTTATTACTCAGTAAAGTTTGCTGAAGTATTGCAAAGATTTCTCTCCCAAACACAAGTAACAGAAGAAAGTAGAGATAATTATAAGTAGACATAAAACAATTAACATCACAAAACCATCACTGGTATTTTTAGCAGTAAGTCACACTTAAAATATGAAGAGAGTGACACTGGCTTAAGATTTTGGTGCCAATGAAAACAGACACCCTCAGTCCAATAAAGCCACTTTGAAGTACTTTAGTATATACTCCATAAATTTTTAATGCCAAATATTCCATATCCTTATCTAATGGTTGAAATATGTTGCCTTAGCTTAATAAGGAACCTGTGGGCAAAAACAAAAGAGAAAGGCAAAACTATTAGGCATTCTTCAAACACGAGTGAGTAGTTACAAAAAAAAAGAGGGAGAACAAGTGGCCTTGAGGAAAGTAACCTTCCCAAGAGCTCTCTCAACTGCATAGAAAAAGATGCTTTTCTGCCTATGTTAAGAGAGAAGTAAGGCAGGGAAGACAACAATTAAATTCAACATCTACATACAGCTGAAGCACTCTATACTGTGAAGTACCCTTCACAGAGTCCGAGGGCTTATGTACTAAAGGCACATCTACAGATTTTGGCTGACGTAACTATTTCCTTGTGTGTTCTGCTTGGCTACTAGCAGTTAGATTAAAAGAACATTTTTGCCTTCCAAAGGCTGGCTTTTATCTTCAGCAAACACTTGCCAATTTCGGAGGAGAAGAACGGAGAAAAGTCCAGACAGACCAGAAGGCTGAATACAGTTTATCCATAGTGTAATCACATTACTCCTAATATTGAGCTCATTAAAAATGCTTAAGTAAAAAAAAAAAAAGATTATTTAATAAGGCTTTTACCTTTCCTGACCAAAAACTTAAATGTATTTTTCATTTCCAAGATGAAGCCCAACATTTAAGGTTCATGAGGTCCACACAGCTCAACAGTATCTAAGGGTCTAAATCTTACCAATTTCACTAGTGAAAAACCAGTAATTGTTTAACCTTGCATGGATGCCATCACAGAACTTGTAAAATGCTACAGTGACATATATACACGTTTCCTTAAATAGTATGCATCTCTTGAGTTTTCAGTTTTCTCCAAAGTGCTAGCAGACAAGCTTCTTTTAAAGGTTCCACCTGCAAGAAAAGAAAACAATTCTAAAAGTAAGTCTAAATAGCAAAATTAGTTCTAGGATGAACATACCAATTAAAAAGTTAGCACATGCTCTGAAATGGAGAAAAAAAAAAATGCCAGAATCGCATGAAGTGGTTAACATGCATTGCAAGTTTAGCATGTGAAACCCTAAAGGAGAGGAACTAAAAAATCAGTTGGTACTCATGAAAAGGTTGGACACATACAGACAAACTGACAAATCACATCATAATGCAAAACACACAACTTTGAAAAGGATACTAGGAATGGTAAGTGTTACATAGCTTCAGTGCACCAGTACCTTAAGTTTTTGTTTACCCAGTAGCTTAAAATGGATGTGCAAGAGCTAAACTTAAAAATTTTTACTTCACTATCAGCTGTATACCTACTCGAAAGAGTTGGAGTTGTTCAGTCTGGAGAAGAGAAGGCTCTGGGGTGATCTTATTGCAGCCTTCCAGTACCTGAAGGGGGCCTACAAGAAAGCTGAAGAGGGACTTTTTACAAGGATGTGTAGGGATAGGACAAGGGGCAATGGCTTTAAACTGAAAGAGGATAGATTTAGATGAGATACAAGGAAGTGTTTTACAATGAGGGTGGTGAGGCACTGGAACAGGTTTCCCAGAGAATGTGTGCATGTCTCATCCCTGAAAGTGTCCAAGGCCAGGTTGGATGAAGCTTTAAGCAACCTGGTGTAGTGGAAGGTGTCTCTGCCCATGACAGGGGGGTTGGAACTAGATGATCTTTGAAGTTCCTTCCAACCCTAACCATTCTATGATTCTATGATTTACTTTTTTATGTGCCACTAAGCATATTTTAAATAAACTTAACTGGTGAAATGGAGTCTGCTGACAACATGGACCTTGGAGACATGGAGAAGGCATGCTACAACTTCAAATGATGAAGCCAGCAAGACACTAGGATAAGCTGAAACACTGTAGAGGTCACTTCAAGAAAATACTAATAGCATATCAGTTTAGGGGAAAAAAACCCTGAACTTGAGTAGCAGTGAACACAAGCAACTAGCAATACTGTGTCATTCAGGTACTGCCCAACTCAGGAATTCCATCTCATACAGGAACTCTCAGGAACAACAGTTAAAGTCAGGCCACAAAGCACAAGCCAACTGCCCCCAAATGCCAGAACACACCTTTTCTGGCAGCAGTTAAACACACATCTGTATCTGCCTTCTTCCTCTGTATCTGAAGATCTGAGACAAATTCTCCAAAACTATATGCTTTTTATCACAAGTTCATTGGCTAGAGACACAGAAGTCTTAAGTGCTGCTTATCTGTTTGGTTTCAGTAAATTATAATAATTTATTAGAAGTCTGAAATAAGTAATTGAAGTAAAGGTCTAACTACTGTTTATATGTGAACAGCTGTTCAAGGCAGTTCAAGACATTATCATGGTCTTTCAAGCAAGATGTGTTTATTTTTCATAGTGCACAAACAGGCCTGGGTAGTTTCCCAGATGATTTGCAAAAGAGTTCAGTTGGACTGGAGAGACCTTTACAAGAGATTCCACAGAGCCATTTCTCTGCTATTAGAACATTTGTTTTCAGAAAGGGCAAGACTTTAATCCTAAGGGAGGTTCTACAATAAAAAGCTGCCATAGATGGCCATTTAAATTTTTTATAGCTATACTATCATACCTCTAGAGAACAGCTTATTTTTATATTAAAGTAGTAATAGTTTAAATTTAGAGAACAACTTTTGGGTAATTACAGGGAGCAGCTTTCTTATTTAGGAGAGAAAAGAACAAATTAGAAAACTGGACTACAAAACATTTCTAGAGTGATTTCAAAAGACTTTTTTTTTCCATTTTTAATCAAACTGCACTGGAATTAACTTTATTTTCATATATGCCCTTTTCTTTCTATTTCTAATGTTTAAAGAGAACATAACTAGTCTAAGTCAAAAACCATCTTACTAACAGTCTGATCATGCTACCATTAGAGGGAGAGAAAAGAGAAAAAAAATAGTGACAGGAGTAACAAAACAATTAGCTGGGCATGAAAATGCCAATGCAGCCAGTGAAGGAAGAGGTTATCTCCTGTTGCATTTAGCTAATACTGGTCTTTAAAAAAGGAAGAAAGGAAAAAGAAACCACATCAACTAAAAAAACCCTGAGCACCAGGACATAATTCTGTACCAGAAAATAAGAGTAAAGTTTGTCTTTCACTGGCACCTGTAGATCCTTCACAGATTCCAGAGCGGCAATGAGATAGCAGCCACTAGAAAGCTATGATTTGCCAAAATTTGCCATTAAAAAAAAAAAAAACCAAAAAAAACCACACAAAAAAACCACAACCATCCTTACAGTCTATCACCTATCTCCAAGGAAGGGCCAGCTGTATTTACACTAGCTTTGACAAGCATTTGTCCAGTCTGGCCTTACAACTGTCCAGCAATAAAGACAGGACAGCTTATTCCAACCTCTTAATTTTTGAAACCTGAACTCCACCTCCTTGCGAGTTTACCTATTTACGTTCTTACCCACTGAGCAAAACGAACAGTTCACTTCATTACCCTCCACAGCTTTTTAAACATTTGGAAACACATCACATCTCCAAGTCTTTCTTCCTCTATGTTAATGGTTCAAAAAATTCTGTATAACTTAATGATGAGGCACAGAGTCCAGACAAACACATTCTGCTTAGTTCAACACTCACACCTGTGCTGCCAGTAAAGGTTGGAAGTATCCCATTGCATATCAGCTCTCTACTCTGTCTTCCTTTCTACATTGACACAATTACAGAATTTTTTCTTAATGAGTAAACAATGGATAGAAAGAAAGGTCACATCTTGCACCTCAGCCTTTTAGAAGTTAACCTCAAGACACTTCAGAGGTTTTGGGTCTTACATTTTAAACATAACCAATTTCCACTTGTGCATTTCCCTCTTGTATTTGAAGTGAGAGTTTGAAACTGGACTGAGCTGACACAACATGACTTCATCCTCTCTCTCACCATACAGAGTTCTGCATTGTGCACTTTGTTCATTCTCTTCAAGCCCAGTGCCTTTAGTTTTTCACCTCAGAATCCCTTTCCTCCTCAAGGGTCAAGCTCTGTATTTTCCATCGCATTTGTGTAAAATTACCTTTCCCATTCAGATAATCAGTGTGTCATCAGTTAGAAGCAAACCACATTGAATTACAGGTTTTTTTTTCCCCCAACGTTAACTGTTAAAAAAAACCCAACAATAACAACGTAGTCAGGAGGTGCATTCCAAAACCATGCCAGACACGTTTTTGACATGCTTAATGGGGTACCTCAAGCAATTCACTGAAGTTTAATGACCCACAGGAAAACCCCGAACTCTTGGGTTAGTAACCTACCATAGATCCCTGCGATGTGAGCATTTTCATGTGTCTCCATTCTTATTAGGCAAAGCTCCACTGATCTATCAGAGAAGTTATCTAGTAAGCAGTCACCTAGTAAGCACACAGTACAGGGCAGCAAGCACAAGGAAGAAGCACCGCAGTTATTCCAGTGATGCAGCTGTCAGCAGAGTTTGTTTCTTTTGGGTAATAAGCACATACCCACTAAATCTGAACCATCGTTTCTTGCCAAAAATTAATATGTAGATGTTTTATTTTATGGACCAGTGATGCCACCTCCACAAAGTAGGTTTCATTTCAACATCTACTCTAATTACAAAGTCAAAATAAACAATTAGATAAGTATTTGGTGGATAATTTAGCCTTCACCAATTTATCGTTAACTGAGTCATCAAATATAGTCTAGCAGACTTCTGTAGAAACTTTTGTAACTGAAAGATGAGTTCTCACACAAAACTGATATATTATCAGCTCCATTTCTCCTTACTGATTACCTTCATTTATTTCACAACATACATCACTTTCAACATGAGTTTCCGATGTGTGATACCTGCAGTTTACTCTGAGCTTCTCCTCTCTTGCATCTCCTGTTTCACAGGCATGGCAGGTGCTTCACTGGCTTCCTGTTTCACAGGTGTGGCAGGCATATCACCATTGACACTCTCCACCCCAGTAACAGACATCAAGCTTTTCCGTTCTTTGGCATTTGATTTGTGCTCCACTTTTGTGACTCTAAATCTGAGGCAAGCAAAAGAACGATTCATTTTTATTTCCCCCAGAGGTTTGTTAGATCGCTCTCAGTACCCAGTGTATGGATGGGACCTGAAAACCTGTTCCTAAGACAGAGACATCAGACACCCACACAGACCCAGCTTCACTTCAGAGCAATCTTCCCTCCTATGACCTACATGTAGTTTTAATACTCACTGCCACTGAATCACACTTTCTCAGGGAATTGTGTTTTAAAGCAGAACCCACAGATTGCATACTACTACTTAGAATAATATTTTCTAAGACAACTACAACATAACCTAGGAATTAAAAATAACAAGACAGAATGAAGTGGTTTCTATAGCTCACACTTCCTTGAGAAATATGAAATTCAGAAACAGAGGAATTAGTGTGCAATCTTTGTTTCTTTTTAGACAGTATCAATAGAACAATAGCTTTGGATTTATACACACGGTAAATCCCCATCTATTTACATAGTTCTAAAAGAAGACTAATAAATACCAGATTTACTTCCTCCAGAAATAACTTCAGTCTAACATGGTTACAAAAAACAATCACTGATGCTATAAACTGAGTAGAATCAATGGACATCTTAACCAACATGGGCTACTGTAGTGTCTCTAAGTAAAGTATCCAATAAAACGACCTAAGCCTTACCTTCCCACAGAAAGCACTGTAACTTCTCCAAGACGGCTTCTTCTGTGCTCTTTAGATTTGTGAGCTGGCTTTATAAGGTGCCATCGTTTGTGGCTACAACGAGTACAAACATCCTTTTCTACTACTCCTCCAACAGTATGGAAGTGATGGCCTTTGCAGTTGTGTTTAAACGGAACAGCACCAGGTGACAAAGGAGACCCTGGACTCGTTGGACTCCCAGGAGAGGTAGGAGATAAAGGGCTGTAGGAAAAAGCATAAAGAAAATTGAATGTTTACTATAAAATTCTGTTTCTTAAAGAGGGAAAAAAAGGATAAAATATAACCTTCAGTTATGTCTAGTGAATAGCTGGGGTTTTTTCAGGGATCATTTATTTGTGACGATGCCTGTTTTAAGGTTCCATCCAATATCATATTTTTGCAGCTAAAAATCAGTTCCACAAATTAATTCAACTGCAGTCATGTGGTTAAGGTAACAAACACCAAGCAAGGAAACAAACAAAAAAAAATCCAACATCAGGCTAAATCAGAAGAGAACAGGTACATGAGCTTATACTGATCAAGATATCTAATTAGCTGATTAAATTCACACTTGCAGAACTACAGAAAGTATTTCAGAATTGTTACAGTGTCTCTAACAACTCACAGAAGAGCATACTGCCACAATAGTGCAAAAAGGCAAAACTAACATGTCTACCATGAAGAGAAGAAGAATCAACAGATAATTCAGCTTAAGCTTCAGGAAAATGTTTTTTTTTAAATTACCTAGAAAAGAAGAAGAAGCAGTACCAGAAGACACTTATTGAGTGTATCTAATCAACTCTTATCTAATTTTCCTCTAAAACAGAAAAGCATATAGCATAGATAGAAGCCAGAAGATGTACTTTTTTGGACTTCAGCATCAATTTTGATACTGTCTTGCAACACGCTCTCCTAAAGCAAGCTAGAGCTCAGTGCATTAAAGGTGAAATTACTGTTGTGCAAGGTAGCATACGCTGTTAAAACAAAGCAAAAAAAAAAAAGACAAAGACATATCAGAAAGTTATATATCAGTAGCTTACTATGACACTGGAAACACATACTAAATGTGATTATTCTGGTCCTGATGATGTTCAGTGTTTTAATTAGTTCCTTGGCTAATGGAACAGAAGAACAGCTAAAGTATCCACAAACTTTGGGTCACCCATAGTAACTGTAGAGGACAAGATGCGAAATGGATGATCAGAAGACAGCATGTGTGTCAAAGACACATACATACATACATAAATCTTATTAAAAATACTGGATGTATTGCAGTAAGGACAACACAAACTCCAGTGCTTTAGCAGCAAAACTTTACAAACCCAGATTAAAAAACAACTAGCCAGATGATCATTCTTCAGAAAAAGAAGGTGAAGATCACAAGCTGAACACGAATCATTATGATGATGTTGCTTAAAAAGGACAAATTTCACAGTGGAAATAAAAGGAGTATAACCTGTGAACTTAAAAGTTACATTACTCAGCATTAGTCATGCCTCAGCTGAATGTTCCATTCAGTTAGAGAAACGTTATTTCATGAAAAATACTTAAAAAATGAAGCAGTTCCAAAGGAGAACAGAAAAAACAAATTAAAGAAATAAAATATGCCGTAAGAGACTGAAGTTACTTGGATGCTTATTTTCAAAACAAAAATATTGACAAGAGACATTTAATGGTTTCCAAATAAAGAAGAGAATGCTATAATGGGAAAAAAAAAAAAATCTGTTGAACCTCTGAAGCAAAGACAGGTGCTGATGGCTTTAAGTGGCAGAAGTGTAGATTTTACTTAGCCGTTACTACTGCTATCATAAGGAAGCGTTTCACAGTGCACCAAACTTAAAGAAATACAGTGGATTTGCACTCAAGTTACTGAAGCTTTAGGAGTACCTGTCAGAAAAGATGTAAGAGCAAATAATCATTTTTCCTTCCCCTTACACTTTTTGTATTTTAATTTACCACTGAAACAATAGCCTAAAGCTCCCAAAATAACATCACACATCCCTACACAAAAAGATTGAGTTAAAATTCAAACAAATATTTCTGCTGCATCACAAAAGTTTAAAAATAAGTCCTATACTTGAGAAGAAAAATATTGAACTTACAACAGGAGTTCAATAACAAAGCCTCTCACTGTTAAAAGAGGAGATAAGCAATTGCATACTCAACTATTTGTTTTGCTAAAACTATACACTCCCACTTCTTTTACTAGTTACACAGTACTACTGGAACCTTCATCTTCTCTGCCTTGAACACAAACACAAGATTACATATGAAGAGTATTTAAAGTAAAGATATAGTTTAGAGGTACTTACAGCTCTAAGTACTTTTCGAAAATGATGTGTCTACAACTCAAGGGCTGAACTACTTTCTCTAAATAATTCTCTAAACAGGTGTGTAGTGAAAAAAGTAGTAAGAGGGAGGTCAGCCAGTGTGTATTATTACCACAATTATAAAGAAAAAAGTAAACCAGAAGGAAATACAGAAAGAGATGTCTATTTTAAGGTAGGACCCATACAAATTAAAGAAGTGCTGCTTCTGTTCTTTCAAGTCAGAGTAGCTTTGTATTAAGCCAACTTGAAAGTAACTTCATCCTAAAGTAAACAAGTATTCGCAGCCTCTGCAAATCTTTAGCCCGAAAAGCAGTAAGTCTGTGTTACACACTTAGAACACATAACCAGAAGAGCCAGTTACTAACCCAGGGCATTCATCCAAATTTAGTGACTCAGACACCACAAGGAAATCAAAGTATTATCGTCTTAGCTGATAACTCAGAAAATAAAACCCTTTGAAAGGGTACTTTTTTTGGTTGCCTCAGGAAACATGCATTAAAAAGATGAGTAATTACCTTTCAGGTTCAAAGACACTGCTATCTGCTACCATGGCCTTTAACACATCAGCATTTGCTGCAATGAGAATAAATAGAATTCTTCAAAAGTGTACAGCTCTAACTTCAGAAAAAATAAATGGCAAAATTAAAGGTCCTCAAAGAAATTCAGTCTAAAAGAAAGATGACTGCATTATGTATATCTCCAAAAAGGCATGCAAGAAAATCATGAAAAAAAAAAGTTACTGTAATTCTATGGGATTTTCTTAACATGAGCTACTAAAATTACAGTTCATATTGCACTCAAAGCTCTGCCCCAATGAAAGCCATATATTGTAGCCATCTGCACAACACTCCCAAACAAGGTCTTTAAAAATCTTAAAACATCCATTTGACCACAGGAGCATCATTATCTCACATGTATAAAGCAATACACCATTAAACACACTAGTCTGAGAGCACCTTACAAAATGCAAATTAATTATCAGCCAAAAACTACTAATTAATCACATATATTAAAAAACACGAGGTAATCCAAGCCTTGAGGAAAAATACACAAGCTCAAAGCCCTAATAGTTAAAGAAAAAAAAAAAAACAAAAAAACACCAACCCACAACACACCACCAAACAACAAACCCAACACAAAATTACAGCTTTTCCAGACTGATCTTCATTCAGAAGTAAATCAAAGCAAGTTCAATGCTTAGGAGAACTTCGATTCATACAAATGTGAAATTAAAAGGCTAAAGGTTCTTGTAGTATAAAAGCATGCAGTCTCCTAAATGTTTCTTCTAACTGGGCAAACACGTTCCAAACTAATCAAGCATTCCATGGACTGCTTAAGTGTGATTTTATTTTTCTAGTCATATCTTCTTTATTTTTACTTTGCATACACAGCGCATGAAGATACCACATCCAAAATTCAACGTTAGCACTAGGCTACCCTGTTGTCTCAGTTATGCACAAACTTTTCATCAGACAACTGCTCCAAGAATGCTTTCAAGACAGAAAGTTTCATCTAGTCAAAACAAAAACTTCACATGCTTTAAACACTGCCATTAAGGAAACCTTGAGCTTTTACTTCACAAACAAACAAAAAGATGAACAAAAAGAAACAAAACAACAAAATAGCTAAAATATCAGAACGTATACGAACCCAACTTACCATATAAACTAGTTTTCAGGTAAGCTAAAAACTTTCCTATTTTCTTTGAAGTTACTGCCTTAAGACAAATCTCAGACTTAAGCACGTACAAAATGGTTATTAAATAAAAACACATGAAAATACAATTTTTTCAGATATTCTGAAGTACAGTGTTATAGAACACCGTCAAAGGTTCCTAACTTCAATATCGCAATACTATACCTTCGTTTTTCATAATGTAGTTAACAATTTGTCCCACAGTGTCACTATTCTCATGTATAGTTTCATTCATTTCTGTGCAAGGAAAGAAATATGTTGTCAATATCCTGGCATTCCAAATCAAGAATTGATTTATTTTAAAACAAAGTAAAACCAAACAAACAAGTCAAAACAAAAACCTAACACACACCAGAAAAAGTTACATTAAAAAAGACAAGATCTATTATCACTTTGGAGAGAAAGCTTAGATGAGACTTTTGAGTCCTTATGCAGGAGAAAATATAAACACAAGCTATGGAATCTACACATGGGCTCTAAGATTTTCATTTAAGACTTGAATAAACCCAAGATTTTCACAAGCGTACATTGAAGTTCCTTCTGTAGCTTGTAAGACGACAAACAAGAGATCAGTATTTCTAATCCTAACAATGGAGAGGGAAAAAAAAACAGAAAATGAACAAACAAATCAAACTGTCTCAAGTCACTGTTTTAAAAAATGGGTATTATTGGCTTCTAGTATAAGAGGGATTCAATTTAAGCCTTTCACCATAACTACAAGGACATAAAATTTGATTTTTTTTTTAAATTTAAAAAAAAATTTCATACAACTACAGAAGTAAGAGGTTTGAGAAAGAAATCTCATGACTATACTTTTGGAATCGATTGCAACCACTAACAATACTAGAGGCTTCCCCAGAATAACCTCAGAAGGCAGAGAAACACTGGGGGGAGAAATAGAACAATTCAGAGACACAGCTCCACCATTCCCTAATAATTGTTATGACTAGCTTTAAAAACAAGTAAATAAATAAAAATCACAACATTTAGGCAAATCTGATAGGTGAAGCCCATATTTTGTCTTAAAGTCATAAATTAAGGGCTTCCCCATGTCTTTACCCATCCTTCATCTTTGTCCTCACACCTGCAACTTTGCAATACAGCTTAAAGACAGCTGCTTCCCCAGACTAACATCTAAAAGTTGTCCTCCTTCCATTACCACTCATCCCAGTGTTACCACTCAGGTGGACTGACAGACCAGATAGTCCCACTCACTGCATACATGCCCCAGGCAGTAACTGCTTAAGAACATACTGACACGTTATTACTGCACCCTTACCACAGAGCACTGTCGAGCTACGGACAGCAGTTAGTTGGGAGAAAGGAAGAGGTCCAAAGTATTTACAGATGCTACACTGGGTGACTATAGTCCTTCCTGAGTGATAACACTTTTCTTGTTTGTTTGGGGTTTTTTTAAGTAAGAGAAGATGGGAGTAAGGAACCATAAAAACAAGAGGACAAATGAACAAACATTAGAACAAAAACAAAGGTGTCTTAAAGAAAAAAATTATAAGCAGCATACAGGACAAAACAGAACATAGTCAGTCTAAAGGCTGAGTTTTATAACGAAAAGGGAGACGAGAATCAGAGCACAACAGGAACAAATTAAGATTCCTACACATAAAACTAAGATTTTTGGCTTTAAACAGGAGCTTTTTGTCACTCCTCAGATAGAATTATGTATAATACTACTTTGTGGCTAACAGCAAGCAGAATGCAGAAAAGCAATCGGGTGACTCTGACTGCAGTATATAATTGCAAACAATATTCTGGATACTTTGATCCCTCTGTAAGCTCTTAATCAATGTTAGAGGACTTGCTTGGAAAGTTGGAAGGCTTCTAGTTTTGACTGACAAAGATCAAAACCCAACAGACATATAACGGTAATAAAAATATTTTTCTTAATATTGTTTTGATATCTAATAGACAGGGAAATGACCAAAGTCTCACAAAGCATTATTCTATAGTAGTAATAAAATAAGTAAAAAGTTGTTTACTAGACTTGTTGATTACCTATTTTTTCATCAAGTTTTTCTTCTTCTGTTTCTTCAGCCTCTGTTGTGCAACGATATCCTTTTTTCTTAAGGACATGACAGATGAGGATCCCCAAGAGCCCCATGATGAAGAAAACAGGAACCAATGCAAAAGCAATATACTCTAGGTGCTCAGCTTTGCCATCATTGCCATTGGTTTTACTTGTCAAAGTAGTTGTCTGTAAGCCATAGCTCGACAAAACCTGGACAGACTCTCCAGAACCTAGGTAAACAAATAAACACAGTTATTACTATACACTGGAAATCACTTCAAAGCATTTAGAAAATAATAAGCATGACCAAATCCCCATAATGTCAATGTGATCTACCTTCTGAGATGACTTGAACAGGCAACACGTAATCTACTGGCTGAGAACTCACACCTGTAACAGTAAATATTCCCTCTCCATAACACAATTACAAAACACCTGACATACAAAAACCCACATGATACTTCTTCAATATAACAGAGAAGAACAAATGATAGGCTTGCTGTTAGCCCCTTTACTCTGCTCTGTGAGACCCCACCTCGAATACTGCGTCCAGTTCTGCTGTCCCCACCATAAGAGAGACACAGATTTGTTGAAGCGTGTTCAGAGGAGGGCCACAAAGATGATTCAGGGGCTGGAGCACCTCTGCTACGCGGACAGGTTGCGGGAGCTGGGATTGTTCAGCCTTGAAAACAGAAGACTTCGGGGGGACCTAATAACTGCCTTCCAATACCTGAAGGGAACCTACAGGAAGGCTGGGGAGGGACTTTTTACAAGAGTGTCCACTGATAGGACAAGGGGAAATGGGTTTAAGTTGAAGGAGAACAGATTTAGATTAGATCTTAGGAAGAAATTCTTCAGTATGAGGGTGGTGAGACTTTGGAATAGATTGCCCAGAGAAGTGGTGGATGCCCCCTCCCTGGAGGTGTTCAAGGCCAGGTTGGACGGAACCTTGAGTAGCCTGATCTAGTTGAGAGGTGTCCCTGCCCATGACAGGGAGGTTGGATTAGATGATCTCTAAGGTCCCTTCCAGCCTATGCCATTCTATGATTCTATGATATTCTAGCCCTATAGGCCAGTAATCTCAACAAGAGGGCTTGCATATTCCACTGAAGAATAACACCATAGTTGCTCCTTCTTCCCATCAGTGAGAAAAATGCCATATCATTCCTTGGAGTCTAACTTCATGCAAAATTGCTAAAAGAAAGCGGATCCTTCCCTAACAGGACAGTTACTACAGGATTTAGTAGTGACCTTTGCAAAGAAAAAGTATCAGGTTTGAGAGAAACAGCCTTGATTTTTTTCTTAACAACGGAATTTCACGGCATGGAAGAATGAACGTTTACTCATCAGCATAAGGTGGGCTCATTCTTCGCTTGTCAAAGGTTTGTAAACCATTTTGTATTTGGACTTGAAACAGGATGGGAGAGAGGCTTTTTTGTTGCTGTTTGCAAACAACGTAAGTTGCAGCATAAGCAAACACTAACCCTATACCCACGATTAAGTATTTTTGTTTCAATTGAACTCTGAATTTAACAAGTGTATTTCCATGTTATAGATCAGCCTTTTGAACTACCAAAAGCATAGAATATTTACATTAGAAGCAACCTCTGAAGTTCATTAGGCCAAATGCTGCTAAAAGCAGCTCTGATCAGATCAGGTTGCTCAGGTACCCATTCAGTCAAGCTCCATCTGAAGGATGGACATCCCACAACATTTCTAGGCAACCTGTTCCACCATTTGACCATTTTTATAGCCCATATATACAGATTAATTAAAATCTCAGTACTTTCTCATATACCAAATAAAGTAGTATACAAGTTCAACTATTCAGCTGAATCCAAAAATACAGACTTGCATACTAAAAAGTCTTCTAAGACTCTACAGTTTATACACACGTCCTCCTCCATATAACAAAGACTTAAATATTACTTTTCCAACATGCAAGAATATTCCTGCATTTCTACCCTCTATTCTTCATCTCCATTTCAGCTGAAAATAATTGTTTGGAATAGGAAAGAATGACAACAAAAAAGTCCAATAAAAAAAGTCTAACACTATTTCAAGATATTTTCCATCTACTTGTACTAAAATGAACAAGGAAATTCACATTCTTTCTATTAATCAAACTGGTTGAAGGAATGAAGGCTTATGAGAAAAACATTTCCATGACAGTGACACTTTCACAACAGAAATGTCTAGAACATTTAAATCCCTCCCTTTAAAAAAAAAAATAACATAAGCCTCCAGAAAGCTGTAGAAAGACTATTATTCCACAAAGAACTCTACTGCATTGGCTGCAAAACTAAGCTGTATTTGAAAAATACCAGTAAAGTGACAGATCGGTAAGAAAATATTTGTAAAACTGCATTTAGAAATTTATCTTAGTTTTTTTAATATCAAAACACAAACCCTTTCATTTTTAAAATATTTCTGAATTTTTCAGGACAGTCCTGAATTGTCAGTTCAGTAGTAATACACAAGACTTGCTCAAAGCGAAAAAATACTGGCACTTCTTAGAAATAACAATAGATAAAATCCCCATCAGAAAAAAAAAAAAGAAAAAAATAAGTGTTAAGCATTTCTCTAAACTACTTTTCTAGACAATAGTAGAAATGCAGAAAAAAAAAAGCAAAAAGAAAGGCAAACAAATTACTGAATAGATCATGAGGCTAAATGTTGAAATAAAATCCTCAGGATGTTTGCTTTGGACAAAGCCGGATGGTCTAGCTTGCTCCCAAAACCAAAAGAGAAAGCTATTCACTTTTAAGAAAGGCCAATAAGCCTACAGATAATTATATGCAGAATTTACTAGATAAGTAACCCTTAGAAGCTTTAACTTAACGCCTGAGTAGGACAATTGAACAATATATACAATTTAACACTAAGACTCCAATTGCTTTACACTACAAGAAAACAAAAGATAGTAAAGGTTAACGGATACAATCATATAACTAAGAATGTTGATCTTAGATAGAGTTTATTTCCTAAAAACTTATAATTAAAGGTTTAATATACCAAAATAAAATGGTTCTAATTTTTGTTTTATTTTTGCTAAACCATTACGTAGCAACAGCTACAAACTCCCCCACTTAATCACGCAAAATAGTTAAATTTACTTCCCAGGTAGGAGAAAAGCTGTACACTAGAGAAGTATTATTTTATGACATCTCGGAATCTAAGAAATCCAGCTTAAATAGTATATATTACAAGCTCAGAAAGTTACTAATAAATAAGCATCCTTCATGTTCAAAGGTAAGACCAAAATAGGCAGATGTTTTGGATTTTGCTGTACATTATCCATTTTAAGAATGATGAGAAAGACCTACTACACTATTTCTAAGACATCAACAGCCACTTACAAGTCATATTACAAGTGGAATGACAAATCAGGACCACAAAAATTAATCTCTGCCTGTACTTTTTAGGTTTTCTACCTTGTTTTGCGGTAAACTTTAACTGCATAGCCCAAACACGTAGCATCTCTTTACATTTCTCTATAACCACAGTAGGTAAATCCCACAATTTAAAATACAAAGCTGATTCACAAAGTTGCATACAATCAACAGAAGAGAACAATTATACAAAAGATATGGGAAAATGGATCCCAAATACTATTAAATGTTCACAGGAAACAAGAAAAAAAACCTTATGTAAGTCTGTGCCAATCTGAAGTTTACAAGCAGCTCCAGTGACAGAGCTACATCACGTTTTCAGGACAGATCATTGCTGAGCAACCACTAAATACCATCCCCACCCTCCAAAAAAAGCAAACCATCAGAAACTACTCAGGTTGATGTTCCCAGCCTACCTAATAAACCACTTGTAAATGTTTGCATGGTAAGAACCATGGTTTGGGTTTTTGTTTTCTGTTTCTTTTTCTACTACATAATCCATTTTGTGATTTAGTTTAGTACTTCTGCTCGTAGACTGCCATCTGAAACACCAATGAGAAAACCTCATCAGCTACAATTTAATCTGCAGTCAAAAGGTAATAAATAAATAAATAATAAAAAGCCAGAACTGTGCCTACACTGGCACTTTTTTCCTGACAGAAGGATGTTGAACAACTCATTGTTTATCAACTGAATACTCTGTAGCATAGATTAGTCCACTAGTTGGATTGAGATTTAAAGAGCTTTTGAACTAAGCAGGAAAACATACTTAAACTATTTTTTTCCATTTAAAAATGCATTAACAAACATAGATACTCCAATATACTAGCCTATATAGATAAGCCTATGTGATTTTTTTCCTTCAGTTGTCCTTAAGATACCTAAAAATCCAATTCTCCCAATAAAATTCATCAAGATACAAACAACTTTGCAAGGTATTTTGCTTATTACTACTAAAAAATTAAATCAATAATATTCCTATATAAATGTATCATTTACACAAAGTCCAGACTGTGTAATATCCTTGTGTAATATCCCGAAAATATCCCAGAAGAAATTAGAAGGATCAAACACTTGGTGCTGTGTAACCTTATAAGCACAGTGAAGCACTCCACTCTCATTATCAAACACCCTACATATATCAAGAAGTCTGCCCTCAAAAACCCCAGCAGCTATGACATAATGCAAATCCAAGGTTTGCCTAGCTAATGAGCAATGTATTTTATGTCCCAAGTCATAGCTGCATCATTCATGCTCCCCAGTACTCTTCCCCAGAGGCACACTATGCTTATTAACAGACTGTTGATAGTCTATGTCATTCTCATGATGTATGATGTTGCTTCACAATCGTTTTTACTGAAAAGTTCAGGCCATAGCAATCTTCCTTGATTCCAGTCAATTCACACAGAAATTTGTTTGCTTCGATGTTTTGCTGTCCTGGCATATATATATATATATACACACACATATATATATATATACACACACCTGTCATTGTATATCAGTCTACATATCAAAATTACTTGAAGATGTGGTTTAAATAAAACACTTAAGAGCAACATTCAGCACTTTAAAGTGATGCTCAAGCTGCAGATCACAGATTGCATTCATGCTACTAATTTGATCTCATGTACTCTTGTCTGCTTAAAAATTAATATATGTTAGTTACTGAATTTGAATATTGTCTGCCCTTACTTAACCCTTATCTAAAAAGTAAAACACAAGGACAGTTGGCCTCAGACAAAGACCAGCCTTTTACACTGGTTCTAATCATTATTAGTCTGACACAAGAATAGTATACTTCCATCTCAGCAACAGCTCAAGA